ACTTGAGTTTGGCAAAAATTTAGCCATAAACGGGCCTTAAGCCCCTAAAGTCTAAACATTTTTACTGGGACACATGTATGATGTACGGGCTGTAGTTATGACAGACAGTACGTCAAACAGTATGACTGATATTTTCTCAGAAGCTGGGCCGCGACCGCTGGCTTTTGAGTTTCCTTTCTTTTCTTTATCCTCTCTGGCTTTCTCCGACCGTAGGGTCAGCTATCATGCCCGGCGATTGAAGCAGTGAGAATAGCTTTCAATTTTATTCTTTCGTTTCAAACCCTAGCATATTAGAAACTGTGAGATTCCTTTCAATTTTCTTCTTATGTTTTCGAATTTCCTTTTCATCTATTTTGTGAATTATACTCGCACCGCTTCTAAATTGCATACAAATTCAAGTGCATTCCATTTCATTTGCAGGAATCGGGGTGTTCCTGCTTATTTGATCCTAAGAAATCTACAATCCGCTAAAGCTCCGTCGATTTATTGGTCAATCTGCATTCCTCTTCCTTCTATGTGATATTTGTAGCGGTGCAATCTTGGTTGATATATCATTCTTTCTGAAATTTTTTTTGAAATGATTGAGCGAAAGCTATTCAAGACGAAGATGTGTGTACTGTTTCAAAGGGGGCATTGTTCTCGCCGGAATTGCTCCTTTGCACATGGAGATGCTGAACTCCGGGGTTTCATGGGTTCCTATAGCGGTAAAAAATCGTCCTCTTCACTTGTTAAGTTTCAGTAGGTGTTGTTCTCGCTATTTGAACAGTTTAAATAACTTACTTATTGTGCTTGCTTTTTGGTTATTTGTGTCATTACTATCTGTGTCTGCACATGGTTACTTTATTTCAACCTTGGTTTTCATTTTCAATTGAGGTTACTTAGCCCAATTTTATACATGGTTGCTGGAAACTGTTTAAGACAGTCAAGATCAAAGCCACGTAGCAAACTGGGATTGTCATATTACTATTTGGGTATGCGTTGTTTCCCATATCTCCTTACAATTATAAGGATTGTGTTGGAAAAGAAAAATCTAAGTACAAGAAGTACAAGGATTGGCTATCTCAAAATCCTTTTGTTGTTGTTGTTGCATTCAGTTGAATAAAGCAATCACAAAAATACCTCTTTTCTGTCGAGTAGGTCTTTGGTTAGATGGATTTTTTTTTTTTTTTTTCCAAATTAAATCTTTCATTTACCTAAAACAGGGAAAAAATGAAAAGTGGAAATTTCATTATTTAGGAGGACAAATTCCTACTTACACACAGGAGATATCTGATAAGTGTTCTGATTGCTTGCAAGCTCTGGACCATACTGTTCAAATTCAGAATTGAATTGAAAGAGTTATCTCTAGTTTTATGATATTAATTGGTGATTAGTCTACTATTAATAGCTGAAGGAGGCTCGCCTTTTTGAGTCAAATCCTTAATATGTTCACATTACTCTTGAACTTATCATGGGCATCGAGACTCCTTTCCCATATATCAGCAGCCTGAGTTTTTCATTAACAAATGAAACTGACAGAGTTAGTATTTTCTTCTTCAGAATCAATTGTGCTGGTCAGTTATTCTTAGAGCTGGTTTTGGTATTTTTCATCGTGATCTTTATCTTGGTTTTCATCATGCATCCATGAAACTGCACAGATGAATGAAGGATCTCTATTAGGTTTCTTGGAATATGAATTCTTGCGTATTATTGAGATCTGAAGACAATTTGGTACAACTGTCAGCTGTTGTTTGTTCATAAGTTCACCAGTTTGTATTTTATTGGAGCATATGGTTACCACTTTATTCAAATTGCTATTCCTTCAATGACATTATGGAGGGATTTCTTGGATGGAGAAAGAATTCACTGTCAGAAGTAACCAATATGCATTGCATGGGATGGTTTATTATTATTATTTCTTAATATGGCTGAAGGGAGAAAACTTCTAGTATTCCATCCAGAATGCATATGTTTCGTATTGCTCAACGAGGAGATGGTGCCATGACAAGTGTGATTTGTATTGTCCCATCATATAACAGCCTGTCTCAATGATCTAGGCCCCATTATGCGTTTCTTTTTCTATTCATTATATGAGGATGGTAATTCTTGTCGACTCTTTTGAAACTGGAAAGAAGGCAGTATATTTCTTCATTATAATGTTACTCATATTGTCACATATGATGGTAAGTTTAGCCATGCGGTTTATTTTGGCCTGTCCTTGTCTTAATTGAGATGTTTAGCTGATAGTGAATTATCTGCCTCACTGTAAATTCTTCTCATCATTTTTAGGAAGGCGTGACTATCGAGATAGTGACTTGAGGAATAAACTTGACAGAAGGCCATCTTCTGAGAAAAGGTATTCTCCAAAAAGAGATGCAAGAGGTCGGCGTACGTTTCGTGGTCAGGAAATTCATCCTTGCAACTATACTTAATTTTCTCATGTTTTAATGATCCTTCTCTTTCTTCCCTTTAACACCCAGCCTGCTATTGTTTGGCTGTAAAGGATGGAATTTGATGTCTGCCATATAAATTTGATAAGTCTTTGACCTTCTTGGTTTTCTTCCCTTTTCGACCTCTTATCTGTCCTGGATGATTTATTATGTCAAGTTATTTAAAGATGGCTACATCTTGTGAAGCTTAGCTGATTTTCTTTCACTTACAGTTTTCAGTTTGTTTCACTTTTTGCCTTGACTTTGCTGTCTGCTTGAGTTTATAAAACCTTATGGAGTTTAATATTGCAGGATATAGCCCTTCCAGGTCTGTAGAGAAGAAGAGGTAATTCAACATCAATCCATTAGCTATCATATTAGTTGTGGAAAGCATCATGTATTCAAGTTAAACTGCTTTTACAACCTTTCTTGAAGATGTCTTCCATTTTTGCTTGTTGGTTGGTGTATTGGATTAGTTTCTCTCACCCAGTACTTTATCTTGGCAATTGTATTGAATTAAATACTTAAACTGAAGCCAGAAGTAAAGGTTCTTGATCCTTGTGTTTGCTAGTTCATGTTTCTCAAATGAATTGTTTATCTGGACTACGAGGGTCTATGTGTGCCATGTGCATGATGCCTGTTAGCAAGACATAGGAGGAGAATAAGGTGGGGCTGATGCAACCATAATGCATTTTTGGTAGATAAAAAATTTGAATTGGGGAATTTTTTGAGTTTAGTTGTAGTGTACAACCATCCACTTGGCTATAGTTTTGTCTGTAAAATAGCTTTGATATTTTTCATTCTCATTTCTGCATGATTTGTTTAAGCATTTGCTTCTACGAGTTTAAGCTGAAGACTATTTGCATTCTACAGTGGCAGAAGCCACAGGCAGAAATACTTGAGTGGCCAAAGTGATTTTTCCGAAAACTTGAAAACTCCAGATGAAGTGGAGGACAGAGTTAATGAAGGAAGGAACTCATCCTTTCATCCTAGAATTGCTCTTGAGGTACTGGTTTTAAAGATTTTAGTCTAATGTTTTATTCTCAGTTTATTTATTTTGTCCACTTCATGCCCCCATTTCTCTCTCTAATTCTCCTTTCCCCATTCTAAACTATTCTCAGTTGAAAGAAGTGGAGTTGGACATTAGCAGGCTTGATCAGCACAAGCTTCAACTACGGGTTAGTTAATCTCTCTCTAGTTGTCATTGATCATTGCTCAAAGGCAAAAGAATACATGTGGATACTTAGTTAAAAAAAGACGATAATTAGATTTCTTTCATTTTTACCTAGCAAGTCTCAAGTGTAAGTCCTAGACTCAACTTCCTCTCAGCCTGTCCTAAAACAAAATATTCTAATGGGGGAAAATAAAACACTCCTTTGCAACTTGATCTATGCCACAGCCCTCAGCCCTATTAGATGTAAAATCGACGCCACATTCTTGTGTGAATAGAATTTGTTAAATGGCTTCTAACATTTTTGTTATGCTTATGCACTTATTTTTTTCAATCTTTTTCAGATTCATGATCTTAAAAATAATTTAGATAGTTGAGTTGGCTGGTAATGATATCCATGTGATTTTACCTTCGTTTCTGTTACTGATATTATTTATCCCTCCATGTCTATTTTTTGTATCTGGCCTTTTAATTTTCTAAAAGGTAGATATATCTTACAAGGGATATAATTTGATGCTTGTTTCCTACTTTCATGAAAGAATTCTCTTGAAGAGAAGGATCAAGAAGCTGATACTCTATCGTCAAGGATAGAAGAGCTTGCGGCTCAGTTAAAAAAGGAGAAAGACGAAGCAAGAAAGTAATCATTAGCATACTGACTGAATTTTGCTGTTCTTAATTGGTTTTCTTCTTCTTCTTCTTCTTCTTCTTCTTTTCATCCTTTTTTTTTTTTATATATATATATATTTTTATTGTATGGATGGGTGATTCCCTTGTCTTATATTTTTCACTTAAACACTAAAATATTCAGGATCACTTCAAAAATCAAGAAGTTTGTTAAAGCACATAACCGTTGCTCACAGATACAAGATGAACTGAAGAGGTGAGCTTTTATTTAATAATAATTCTGCAGGTTCTTATGCTAGCTTAATGTGTTTTTATACATTTAACCTTTTTCTTATTCTAGAAACTGAATGCATATTCTTCTGTTTTCATGTAAACTTTATTTATTTAACCTAAATTGGTAGATCTCAAGCTCGAGCCCAGAAGTTGGGAGAACAGCTTGGTTCAATTACTACTAGAACCAGTGGCAATGATGAAGATTCAAACATTAATATTGTGAGTGATGGTGAGACAACTGATGTCCATATTCGTAACCCACAGAAAGACAGTCGGAATAATTCTCCTCCAAACAAGAAAAGGCTGTATGCTGATCAGGACACTGCTCAAGATCCCATTCTGGATGGTATGTTGCTTGACAGTTATTATTCAAATAAGAGGAATGCTAAGGAAACTCTCTCTAACACTCTTCTTTGGACACTTTCCATGTGATTGGGATGTGATTTATATTTGATGTGATTGATCATAATTTCAAATTTTAAAAACATTAACTTTAATGTCAATCACTCATCACCAATCATATTAAATTTATATTACGTGTAGGCCAATCACATGGAGGGTGCTCAAAAGAGAGGGTTAAAGAGTGTCCCTAGCACTCCTCTTCAAATAATAGTGTGTTTGGAAACTAACAACTTTCAATTTGGATTTTGAGAAAAGTAACATCTTTACCTGAAATCTGGGATAATAAACATGGTCTAGAGGAAACATGATAATCCAAATTTGGTAGTGAGTTGTGACCTTTGAATGATGGGAAGAAGTCCTCTTTAAAGGTAATTAAAAAAAAAAAAATTGCCGTTTTTAACAATGTGAAAACTGAAAGTGAAAAGTCTGTTTCTTGAAAATGATAGAATATATTGTGTCCATCTGCTGCTCCATGTGTGTTTAAAAAACTGTGGATCAGGAACATTCTCCTGGTTTACCTCATTGTCAAATGTTTTATCCAATCATCATGAATGTAGGTAGCTGATATCTTATTTTCTTTATTTTTCTACCAATTGAAATAAATGGACAATCAATTTAGATCACATCTGCCTATCATTTTGTGTGTCATTGTCAATGCTTGTTCTCAAATTACCAGTGCTATGTTGTTATCTCCTTCTGAAAAAGATTAGACCCAATGCCTCATTCTAGGAGCTGTTACTTGTCAACTAATTTGTATTATTTTTCAAATTTTTAAAAGATAGGTGATAAAAGAAACTAATGAAGCATATTCTCATTTTACTTTCTTGCTACAAGAATCATATTATAGTTCATAATATTCTTCTTAGTATTTGAGAAATAAGGTCTATATTTGTTGGTTTTGATAAGGAGAAGATCAGTTAGAAACTCTGAGATCAAAGAAGCGGTCTCGGTGGAATGTAGGCCCTGCTCCACTAAATATGGAGAAAGAAATTGGCTCACTAGACAAAGAACTAAGCAACAGTAGGACCCTGAGAAACGATGAGAAGCTAATAAGGAAAGCAAAGAAACTCTCTTCAAGCGTGCATGCAGCAAATAAGGTGCGATTTTGCTCCCTTTTTTTTTATAAATTTTGGTAAATATAGATGGTTGGGAATAAGGTACTTTTTCACAATTAGTTTTTCATTTATTTTTGTCCCTGGTGGCGATTTTATTTTCTTAAATCATTTTGAGTGGCTATGCAAGTTGTCAAAACTGTCTAACATAGATGTTAGAGATCCACGGCATACATCCTGATCTGTATGGATCGTGATTTGAGAACATTTGTGATTGAAAGCAGTAGATTGCAGTATTATTATAAAGAAACTTACTTTTAAATTAAGCATGATTGAAAATAAGTTTCTACAAGAGAGGAAAACAGGAAAACAAAGTAAAATATTCAAATTTAATTGATGTGGGTTTCAAGTTGCTCAATAATTATATTCCAGAAAATTTGGCTCATGTGACTGACTATGATAAATCAAAGAAAAGGCTATGTGTTCTTTTTCCCTGAGAAAGTTCATGCTTTTCCTCAACTAGGAAATTTAGGCCCCATTTAGTATGGTTTCAGTTTTTTGTTCACTCAAAATTAGCAATTGAAAACCAAAATTAAAAATTAAAATTGCCAGCTTATTGGGTACAAATTTTTAGAACTAATACTCAAAACTGAAAACTTATTTAATTTATAAAACTTGTTAATTTTATTTTAGTGTTTCTAAATATTTGAAAAACCAAAACAATAACTGGAAACCACGACCATATTAATGGAGCCTTTGATTATGGTCTAGATTTTCTTGGATGACTTGAAGTTTCTATTGTGAAGAAACATTTGAGGGGTAAACTGTTGCATTAGCCAACTCAACTCATATCCATGTGTTATTGCAGTTGAAGGGTACGAGTTCAGGGTCTGTATTGCCATCAACAAGCATGGCAGCTCAGGCACTTGATGAAGTTGTGGAAATTGTGGAGGATGAGGAGAAGAATGAGATGTTTGATGTGGTTTCCACAGGAAGGGAGAGAGAAGCTATGTATGCGGCCAGAGGCTTACCCAATTTACTTCCACCTCCACCAATCCCCCGAAATGCGTACTCGAAGGTGAGTACAATTTTCAAATAATGTGCTTTCATTCTGTAGATTTTTTTTCGTTCTCTTACATGTTCATTCGCTTTTCATAAGCATGAATAATAACCTTGTGATTATCAAACATGATATGGTCAGTATATAGTTTGATCATTGCCTTGCTTGACTTGAATTGCAGTACGAGGGTGAAGATGAGAATGTGAATGTTGATGGGCTTGAGGAGATGGGGCATGTGAACATCATGTGATATCAAAAATGGTTGCATTAAAAGGTCTGGGTTTTTTTGGATAGAATCAGAGCTTTCAAGTGTCATGTATATATTGGCTAGTCTTACAGGCACTAGGATTTACTTGAATTTGTCTAACTATACAATCTATGACGAGGTCTCACTTATCCTAGAAGATTTCAGAATTTTTGAATCTTATGTTAATTGATAAACTTTGTCTCTATACTGGCAAAAGCATTTTGGATACCTGGTTTTTGTTTTGAACATTGAAACAATTCTAGTTAAAATGGTTGCTTAAATTCCTAAAACGGATAGATCGCTTGCAGCTTATTTGATTGTTGGATATGGTGAATGCAACATTAGGCAAAGCTGATAAGCTACCATCTCTTTTGCCAAAATGCCCCATTTGGGAAGCTACAAAATTTATTTTTGTAGAAGTCCCATTTTTTTTAACACTTTACAATTTGGGGGAGGGCATTTTTTCTAAGGTGTTGGTGGGGGTTGAAATCACAACCAACAAACTTAAGTGCTTTAGGGTTTAGAGGTGAATCACTTAACTTGAAGAATTGGTTATGTGGAAGCAAGGTTTTTAAAACCGGACCGGATTGGTTGGTTGAATTGGTTGGACCGATACTCGGTGATGAAAACGGTTTGGTTTATATAAGAAAACCATTTGAGGTCAAAATCGGTCAAAATTAGTAAAACCGTTGGAACCGAAAAACCACCGGTTTAATTTCTCATGCAATCTTCTTTCAATTTTTTTCAATTTCACCCTTCCCATTCCTTTTTTATACCCATTTTAACTTTTAATTTTAACAAAATTACAAAATTATCAACACCAAATTAGAAAATCCATGCCTGCAGCTTGCTCTTCTCATCAAATCTTCCTTGCTGTTTGGATCGGTCGGTTCATTGGTTGAACCGGTTAAACCAAAAACCGAACCTAAAAATGGT